GATAACAATTTTTGACTAGTTAGTAAATTATTTCAAATAAACTCTGTTAAAACAGAAACAGAGAATTTTCATTGTGCTTTTTGAAAACAGAAATGAATATGGATACAAAATAAGGCCTCGATATGTATTAGTATAGCATTTGTTAGCCTTGGGAAAGCTTTAAATGTCAAAGAGCATGAGCCACTTTGGGCCTTATTTGGCCCTGAGAATTTCTGAAAAATCAAAACTGATCAGTTTAACATAAATACAGTATTGATCACTTGGAGTGTTGATGACCAAGTATCTATTAAAGGTGACGTAATTTCCCATATAGTCACTGCATTATGACGTCATAAAATGCGTCATTTTCTTTATATCCTGTAAATTCCTTTGGAAATGACCGCAAGTTGAAGCATTTTTTCAATATTTTATATAGAGCACAATTTCTGATCCAAAATATGCAAATACATAATGAAAGCTCTGTTTCTGAAGATCAAAAAACAGGTTTTATTTTTTGGATCGCTTGCTCTGCTCATATTTTCATTCTTTGCTGAAGATAGTCAAATACGCATGTTTTCTGCAAATTTCAAGAACAAATTTGCAATTTCTCGAACCTGTTTTCCAATATCTGGAATCTCAAAACGAAATTTTATTACAGAAAATGAAAGCGCCAAGTGTCTACTTTATTTTGATATATGAAATGGGAAAGAGAGTGATAGTTAAGTTATTGATATAAGTACAGGGCCGTTTTATGCATAAGATGGCTCTTGCTCTTTGTTATATTTTGCAAGTTTTTCTCCGATTGGCATTGCTGAAAACGACAGAAATCCGCATGAAATCTAATTATTTTAAGTGCTTGGCACTCAATTCTAATTTTTGGTTGTTATTTGCCTCTTTTAGGAATATGTAACTTTTAAAAAATGAGTGTTTTTTGGCATTTCTCACTGAAAATATGGTATATAAGTTTTAAAAATTTCATTTCAAGGTACCGAGGTCGTGGCGCAGTGGTTAAAATGTCTGCTCTAGAGTCGCATAGAAAGGAGTCTATCCTTACGTCGCGGCCGGGTTCGTATCCCAAAGTGGGACGTCGCAGTAGGTGCCGTACTAGCACAAAAAAGATCATTCACTGCTTAATGGCCCTGAGTGCCGAGTATAGGACAAATTTTGTAGCTCTCCGCCGGCAAGTGGTGGCGTCTCCATGTGACTGGAAAATTCTCAAGAGGGCGTTTAACAACATACAGTCAATCAAGGTGATGAGCGCATGGCAAAGGAACAGCTGCTACCCATTTTTTTTTTATCGACTTAGGTCAGTCGCCGCAGAGATTCAAACTCACAACCTTCCCAACACGAATACATTTATAAGTTTGGTGTAAAGCAATTTAAGAATTTTAACTCAAGGGTAGTTAAATGCATTTTCAAATAGGGCGTTAGACCAAAATATATGACATAGAAGAATTCAAACTTTTGAGGAGAAAAGAGATTGATTAAAAATACAAAATCGTAAACACGAATCTCTAAAAACATCGGAGGTTGTTTAACGTACCAAGAAGGAATAAGAACCTCCTGATGAACGGTCACATCCCGCAGTGTGCTCTTTGTCATTATTGGCCAAATGGATTTTGCATTGCTATTGGATGTTTAGACTGAAGCAAAAAATCTCTGGCACCCCCCCCCCCCCCCATCTTCCATTGTAATTGAAAACGCGAATCACTAATTGCAGAAAAAGTTAAATATATATGAGGAACTGAGGTGAATGAACCAGCACCCCTTCTCCTATTTTGAACGGTTGGAAAATGAGCTGCTATATTTGTAAATGTGACGTGATAATACAGTTGACATTTTTTCGTGGTGTCAAATTTTCAAGGCTCGAGAAAAAATAATGTATATGCGGGGATTCGATTTCGTGAATGGAGGTTGGTCTCTCGATATATCGAAAAGAAGGAACATTGCCCCCCCACCCCCACCCCCGTAAATTAGTGATTTCACAGTATTAAAACAATTATCATCAAATTTAATGAAACAAATATTGGCTTAAATTTAATCAAATATTGATTAACAATCACGATATGACCTCTACTGATTTGAGAAGTCTGTACAATTTTTGAAATAATTATTTCAAGCTTTGATAAATTCTGTTTTCGCCGTTATTCGTGGTAGTGTCAGAGAGAACAAAAATATTCATTAAAAATTTTGCATTCTAATAAATCATATTTTTGTTAAAGAAAAATATATTAAGAAAAACTTTAATTCTGAATTTTTCTTCAACCCAATTTTTGTGTCATTAAATTCAAAATCAATTGCAAATTTAGCACAGAAGCTGTTTCTAACATAAATATTTAATGATAAAATAAAATATTTGTAAACTTACATGTCAGGAATCGAATCCTTTCAGCACACATACAGCTCTATCGGACGGAGGTACTTTTAAGAATGTGAGTGCATAATTTTATCAAATGTTGCGACAGCGTGTAATGTAATTGCTTGTGATAAATAGTTTTTACTGGTGAAGGTATTATCGTACAAGACCCACTGGATATAATTCTCATGATTCACTCTTAAAGGTGAATGCATCTTATAAACATTGCATCATATAGACAAATGTATTGCATAATTATAGTTTACTCAAGGGCAAAGTATTCAAAATAAACTTGGTTCTAAATTTGTAATGAATTTTAAAAAAATGACAATAAACTAAAAATACAAATAGGAAAATTAACTAATTAAGAAAAACTAATTAATTAACTATATCAATTATAATATTTAACAATTCATAAAGTTGATTAGTATTGGATTCAATAAAAACATTTCAAATTTCAAAAGATTTTTATCATTCATAATTGTTGAGTTCTTCATAGACATATCAGTACATTAAATAAGTAATGAAATTCATCCCTAATTTCGTTGCTGTTACATTATTTATAAATTCTATATTCTCTAGTGATGTTAAACCATCTACCAGTCTCAACTGGTATTTTTTGTATTCCCAGTTCCAATGTTTAGTTATTTAGTAGTATTGCTAATTATTTTTTGTCTCTCAATTTCCTTTGTTTTTTATGACTTCTTAACTATTTTCTTTGTCCTGAGTAAGGGACAGGTCGTCCCAAAAATTTGACAATTTTTTTTATTGTTTTGTAGTCGGTCATTTTGACGATTTTTATACATTTCTATCCGTGACCTTGTATCTACTTAGTAGCTCCGACACTTAGAATATTCAGTGTTGTTGGGTTTATAGTTACTCGGATGATTTTTTCGTTATTTCTTCCATATCTATTATTTGTTTCATCCTATATATACTTATCGGTAGTAATAGAACAAAAATATACTGTATACGAGATTAATTTACAACTACAAACTTCAATACACAAACAGTTTCTTCAGAGAATTTCAATTTTTGATTTAAGAAAATAAGTGGACACATAAAGAAGACAAATAACTAAAGTGGTCAATCACCATTTACAAGGGCTTTCGTTACGTTTTCCTTTTCAGACCCCACATACACGGTAATTACTGGTTGACTTGTGAAGTGTCCAGTAAATTGCAGATTTCCGAATAATTTTTTTAATCTTAAGTGAATTTACGCATGTGTTGTCACGCCAGTACACGATAACTCAAATTCAGATATTTTTCATGTAATATATTTAGAATCAGCATTTCCTTAAAAAATATACTGAAAATTAATCCTCCTTCGTGTTCATGATCTCGTTAACCCTATAACTATAGTCCCGATGGACAATTATTACTGGTGAAGTAAATATTGTTATTAAATAGGACCTTAGATAACTACTTTAAAAAGGTCCTACGAGGGTTGTCCCAGAAAAATAAACGTGAACATTTTCACTATCTTTTGTTTCGCTAAAACTATAAAGGATATGAAGATAACGAACAGTGTTCATTATCAAAGTCCATAAAACAATACAAAATAGGAGCAGAGCAAACACAGACCTCCAAAATATCAGAGGTGGGATCAGGTGCCATGAGATGTGAGCATCCCCTGCCGACCTGTCACACCCGCCGTGTGCTCCTTGTCATGATCGGGAAATAACGGAGAATCTGTCGTCAATCCAGTCTTTAAATAATGGACTATAGTATGAAAAACGTCAATCAGCATTCGACTCAATGATAAATTATGTTTGCTGACAAGGTCATTGTATCAACCAAAGAACTTATGAAATAATTGTATTTGCTGACAAGGTCATTGTATCGACCAAAGAACTAACGAAATGATGGCTTTAAACGAGACTGCTGATATTCTTGTTTCAACTTGATTATCAATAATTTACCTCGTTTTAGAAATTGTTCATACGTAGAGCATGCTCTTGCGTATCGAATCAACTGAGATATATACACTCCGTATGCATGAAAGGAGATGAAGGTATATTGCTGCATAGGTAAGGGAAGTTGACAATAGAAAAGTTAAAGTCATCACGTTTATCATAGAGCTTGGTTGTTTGATGATCATTAACTTCTTTTTCAAGTAAAATACCCAAGTATGGGTCAGACTCTGTAGTATCTTTTATCTCAAGCTCACCAGGATATATCCTATCGACACAGGAATGGAAATGACCATTGTTAATATCATCTATTTTATGCATATAAAATCAGATGACTTTATTTTACGGGAAAAGGTATTAATTTTTTGGTCGGGATCGGCCTGCGGCCTTGGGTATATATAAGTCGGAAAGCTCGGGATCAACATTCTTTTCATCAACTTGCTGGATACAGAGTAGGTTGAATATTTCTTTGTCAAGTTTTTTCATAATATTTGTAAGAAAAATTTTGCATCTGCCTTAAATATATTTAAATTTTGGTTAATGGATAATAAAGTTTGTATGTTCTTAATACTTTTTTAATCCAACGTATATATTTTCTCTGGATTGTGCTGGATTTACAGCCCGATTAAATGTGACACGACAGCCATTTTGAATATATTGTTGCAAATTTTTGCCCGTAGCAAATTTATCAAAAAATTTGTATCTGGTGAATTACAATTAGTAATTTTTGATTGTTATTTACTATAACGAGCGGAAATGCCTCCCAAAAATAAGACTAAGCGGAATTGCAGACTGAGAGACAACGAGGGCAAAGCATCAAGGTCAAAGAGGTCAAGACAAGAGCGACCAGCGGTAGCGATAGAGGTTGACGATAATCATACAGTTCAGGAACCAGGTCCTTCAGGAAGCATCGCCGCCCAAGAGAATGTAGTTGGTGCCAGAAAGTCAAACTCTACCCCACTGGCCCCAGCACCTGTGCCTGCTTTGGCCATTGGATCTCAATCAGGTACAAGCATTGGTTATGAGAATCAATATGTAGATAGCATTCATTCACTATTGGCTAGCAATGTCTCTAACTCATTGAAGTCTAAAATCATTAGTTCAGCATACATAGAGATTAGTTTGTTGCTTGATAACACTTCCCTGACAGAATCTTCAGAGAAAAAAATATTTTTTAATGAAAAAGGGGAGTTGGTCACAAGAGAGGTTGTTAAACCTAGCAATAAGATTCAAAATATCAGTAAATGGACAGATGCATTCTTAGTTTACTCTAGCATTTATGCTTCAGCCCACCCAGAATCTTACCAGGGTTTGCTGAAATATTTACATGACATAAGACTCGGGGCATCAAGATGTGGGGAGGGGGATTTGGGATGGAAGAAATATGATGAGCAGTTTCGACTTCGCCGCAGTATCGATCCCACCATAGATTGGTCTAAAGTAGACTATGAGTTATGGTTGATGTTTATGTCATCATCCCCACAATCTAAACTAACAATTAAACCGAACAGCCCAGCCTACAACAAGTGCTAAAATTTCAACTTCAAGGGTCATTGTGACAGACCTTCTTGCCAGTACATGCACAAGTGCATTAAATGTTCTGGGAGTCATCCACAATATTTGTGCCCTCAATCTAATTATGTTGGGAAGTCCACAAGTTACCCAAGGGGACCACTGCAGGGACAGCCTCAAGTTAGACCCCTTTTGTCACACCCAACCCAAACCCCAAGACCACAAAGGTATATGGGCCCTAGGAAATTCCCCTATTAATGTTGAAAAGTTAAATGAATATTTGCAGCCATATCCAGACAAATATGCTGCTAATTATATAAAAAATGGGTTTTCAAAGGGTTTTGAAATAAATTATACAGGCCCAAGGTGTCATGTGTTTTCAAAAAATCTTAAGTCTGCAAGTGAACACCATGATGAGTTGATGGAAAAGATAAGTAAGGAAATAAAGCTTGGCCGAATCATGGGTCCTTTTGATCAACTTCCAATTTCTAACCTCCATATTTCACCAGTTGGTATTGTCCCTAAATCTGATGGAGGGTGGCGAATGATTACCCATTTATCCTATCCTAGTTCCCAGGGGATCAACGACTTTATAGACCCAGATTTATGTACAGTGCAGTATGCATCATTTGATGGTGTAGTCAATATGATTGCAAATTTGGGAAGGGGCGCATTGATAGGTAAGATGGATATTAAAAGTGCTTTTCGTTTAGTTCCGATAAATCCAGGGGATTTTGACTTGTTAGGTTTCTCAGTCTGTAGATGGATTATATTACATAGATAAATGCCTTCCCATGGGTTGTTCCATTAGTTGCAGAATTTGGGAAACATTTGCAACTTTTCTACACTGGCTTGCTCAGTTCAAGTCTGGATTGAATACATTAGATCATTATTTAGACGATTTCCTTTTTGCAGGTAGGTCTGGTAGTGATGAATGTGAAATTCTAATGTCTACTTTTAGTAACTTAGCTGGGGATTTAGGGGTACCTCTAGCCCACGAGAAAACTTCTGGTCCAACAACAAAATTAATATTTCTAGGTTTTGAAATTGATACACTAGAGATGACAATTAAGATCCCAGAAGCTAAGTTAGAAATCCTGAAGAGTCTGATTGAAAATTTTTTAGATAGGGAAAAAGTTACACTGCAAGAAATGCAGTCTTTAGTTGGAATGCTCAATTTTTTCTCAAAGGCAATCAGATCTAGTAGAGCTTTTATTCGAAGAATGTATGATGCATTTAGTGGAGTTTTCAAGCCACATCATCATATAAGATTATCAGTAGGAATTAAAAGTGACCTTAGAATGTGGCTGGTGTTCTTGAACCATTTCAATGGGGTTGCATATTTTCCTAATACTGTATGGGAAGATTCTAGCATTTTACAGTTATTTACAGATAGTGCAGGTTCAGGTCATTTAGGTTGTGGTGGTTACTTTAGTGGAAGTTGGTTTTTTCTCCAATGGCCAAAACATTGGAACAACCAAGAAATTTTGAGAGACAGGACTTTTCTTGAGCTCATACCAGTAGTTTTAGCAATAGAGATATGGGGACCTAGGTTGTTACATAAAAAAGTTCAGTTTCATGTTGATAACCTTTCATTAGTTAGTGTCATCAATACCCAATCTTCCAAGTCCAAAAGAGTGATGGAATTGGTAAGACATTTGGTTCTTAGACTGATGATCAATAATGTTATATTTAGGGCAAATCACATTAGTAGCTTGGATAACAAAATTGCAGATTCTATTTCTCGCAAACAGTGGTTCCGCTTCAAGACGTTAGCACCAGAGGCAAGCACCAGACCAGACCCTCTTCCAGTAGAATTAGTCAACATGATTTACAGATTCAAATGAATAAATTGCTAGATGCTTCAATCTCTGAAAACACTAAGACAGCATACGAAACAGGACAAAATTCATTTTATAATTTCCGGAAAGAATTTGGGTACGAAATTTCATGGCCCCCACCTCTTAGAGATGTTGTTCACTTTGTTGCTTATCTGTCACTTAAGAAGTGTTCCTATGCTACGGCAAAATCATATCTATCTTCTATTAGTTTTCAATGCAAAATTCACAATTGGGTTGATGAAACAAAGAACTTTCTGGTTGTAAAGGTTCTTGAGGGTATGAGAAGAACTGGTAGGTCTGCAGATGCAAGGCTACCTATAACCTTGCAGTTGCTTACTGAAGTTGTTAGGGTTTTATCGAGCATTTGTAGCAATAGTTATGAAACAAAATTGTTCAGAGCTGCTTATATATTAGCCTTCTTTGGTTTTCTCAGAATAGGGGAATTCACATTGTCTGCTGGTAATTAATTGACAATACGTCGTCGATATATCGAAATGTCGAGTTAAGGGGCACAACAAGTGTTTTCCTTCTTTTCAGATTTTGCATAAATTATGCTTCATATGAATACAAATATAGGTATGCTAATAACAAATTACAATTGGTACCCATGGGAATTCCAATGGATTGTTGGAAGACCTGGTTAAAAACTGGCATGCAATATGACCAACACTTTTTGAATAAAGTATACACTGTTCAATGAAATATCTCTATAATAACATTTTCCTCTCAGATAAACAAATCTACTAAAATTAACTGTCGGCGCAAAACTGAAGACGTTAAAACGCAGCGCGTAGTGTTTGTGATTTTTTTTTTACTGGACACTGTACCTCTAATAAAATTCGACTCTGTATTTCATTTTATTTTAGTTACCACGAAAATCTTTTCAAATAGTAGTGTTACCAACAAGATTGCAGATTTTATTCTTTTAATAGCCAATTTCGTATCCCGATCATAAACCAAGCTAATGGAATTGTTTAACAGTGGTCTTCACGTAGATCTATGACGTCCTGCTCCTTTTTTCAGTTCGTCTTCATTTTAGCGGTCTATTCTCTTGTATCGGATAACCAGTCACCCTCAAACCCCTTCAACTAGAGATAAACCTGTTTCCCATACTTATGTTTGTGTTTTTCAATCGCTAACATCTTTTCGTTACGTACATATCCCGAAGTGTTGCTTGATAATTTGCTGTTCCACATTACTGTCCAACGTAATCATTTTTGACAATGTCTAATTTAAAGTGCTTTGGAACACATCGTCATATGTTTGTCATTAATGATGTCAAATTAATGAATTTTTAAATACGAGTACACCAAATATAGAGTATTTAGGTAGGTAAAATTTGTGACATAATATTTCCGTATAGCCTGATAACAAAGAACATTGACAATTTGCTACTTGTGAAAGTCAAAATATTGTCGGACGCCAACCACCGATATTTAACTCCCTTTAAATGC